CGACGCTTGACTGGACGTGACATGAGATGCTGGCGTGCGACTAACGCATCGCGGACATGACGCGGGGCACTGGCGTGCGTATCGCGCGCACTGGCATGCCTTCGCGTGCTTACTGACATCAATTGAACACATGGCGTGATGACTGGCGCTGCCGGGCGCTGTGGGCGCCGGCACTTGCGCAACTAGGCACTGTCGGTCGCTACCGGGCGCCGAAACAGGCGACTTGGCTTGAGGACGCGCGTACTGGCACTGGCTGGCGTGACTGGGTACCGTGCGGCGCTAGCGTGCGACCCTGACGGCCCCTGGCCGACTGGCGTGCGGATATGCGCACTGGCATGTGTGAAGGCATGCTGGCGTGCACTAGGCACTGCCAACTGTCGACTGGCTACGGGCAGAGGCTATGCGCGACGCGCGACAGAGCATGAACGCACGTCGCCTGCCCTGTTGTTGGTTGCCGGATCAAATAGACATAGTGACGTATATGGGCTTAAATACATGATTTAGACTTAGGATTAAACATTATTACTTAGATCGAATTTATTAATCACACATGCTTAGAGAATTAAGAATCCTTGGCCATAACATGAACGAAAATGATTAATAAACGATTAGGCTCGGTAATATTTTATCGAGCGATTAATTACTTAGAAATTATTCCGAGCATAAACGTGACTTCGAAAAATAATTTCGAAGAATCTTGACTTGAATAATTAATTCTGAATTTACTATGTCCATTTATAAAAATAAACGGACTGAGATTAATTATTGGAATTAACTCGGTTAATAAATAAAATTAACCGGATATACTTTCGACTTAACGTCGAACTCGGAATTTAACTGACTGAATAACTTAAACTTGAATATTAACATGAATATTCCTTAATAAAGGCTAGCTTATATTAAAAATCTAGTATTTTTTCTTTATTAATAAAATATGGGGCATTACAGCCTCAGTGATGGTTCTCCTGTTGGGAGCTAGTAGATTCTCCTGTTGGGAGCTTCGTAGTTATTTTGGTAGTTTTTGTTAAGTGTTTTGTTTTTGGGATTCTAGCGTTGCTAGTGTCGGATTTAGGCGGTTCTCTAAGGTGTAATTTGCACATTTGTGTGTTTTGATCTATAAAATTCTCTGTCGTTTCGGGAATATATATATATATAATTGAATGAAAGGTTAAAGAAATGTTTTTAGAAAATATTTTAACTTTTACTTAAATTTCTCGATATTTTGTCTCATTCTAGATTATAAAGTAACATGGTATGCAAGGTTAAAGAAATATTACTTTAATAAAAAAATATATTATATTTTGTTTTAATTTTAAATTTTCAATATTAGCTGCACAAATTTAGTCTTACCTAAAACTTAGAGTTACTTTTAAAGTTGATTTAAAAATAAAATCTTTCGTATGATGAAGTATTGACAAATGTTGGATTAAAAAAAACATATAAAAATAAAATATAACTGGGTAATTACTCAAAAAATGTTTAAAAAAATAATTAGAAATCTCCGAATATATGAACCGAATTAAACGAAACCGAACCGTCTCGAATACCAAATCGAACCGAATCGAACAGAAACATAAAATTTTTCAAACTGAACCGAACCGAATTTTTAGTACGGTTCCGAAGATCGAATTTTTGTGATCTCTAAATTTTGGTACGGTTCTGGAGATTTATCAATCTCCGAACCGTATCGACCCATGCGATGCATCAATAACACACATTATGTCATAATTTAATTATTTAGGGCTTTTTTTTTATTAGGGACTCACTTTTCATATATTTTTGTTTGAATTGTAATATGTTATTTAAATCTTTTTATGTTACATCATTATGTTATTCTTGAAAAAAAAAAAAATACTTTAGAAGTTTATTTGTTCATTATTTTATTTTGTTCCTACAATCATATGTTCAATAAATTAATTAATTTATCTTACTAAACTTAACCGGCCAAAAACATTTGTCACCACGTGCATCGCACATTCACTTTACTAGTATACTAGTATAACACCCGTGTATTACACGGGTGCTTGCTAATTTTTTTTAGAGTCTAAAAATAATGAGAAAAAGTAGTTGAAAATTTAAATATCTTTTACAAATATATATATATATATATATATATATATTATATTTAGTATAACACTTTCTATTTGTGCGACTTACCTGCGTTATATTATAATAATTTTTAACTTACAACATATAATTACATTAAAAATAAATATATCAATTGATAGATAATTTTATTTTTCTAATGAATTTTAATAAATATTATTATTTTTTATTATTATAAAGATAATATTATTTATTTATTTCATATATACAATATGGATATCAAATCGAAGATCATCAAAAGATGATTAATTTGATATATAATATATGTAAAATCTATAAAAAATACAGAAGTTATCAACTTTTAAAATACATTTACAATTCAATAGCTAATTGAAGGGAACAAATCAAAGTCAGGGATATATTAGTCACTTAGTGTCTCACTATGTAAAATTACAAATAATTTAAAGGGTTATATTAGTACAAGTGATATTAAAATACTTAAGTTAGATAAATAATATTTATGGAATGTCCGAACCTAGATTATTAATTATTAATATATCAATATTATTTTTCCAAACCTAATTACGAAGCATGATTCTTCGCCAAGTAGGATTCCGAAGCACCAGAAGCAGCCACGTAGGCTCAGCGCATTCGAGAATTATATATAGAGATGATTAAAAAGTACAAACAAACAACAATAAAATAAATAAGTAAGTCATAGTATAATTTTAAGTATATGCATTTTAATTATTATTATTATTACTATTATTATTATTATTATTATTATTATTATTATTATTATTATTATTTATTTAACTACAACATAATTCTAATCATTAGATGTATATTTTTTATTGTTTATTTAAATATCAAATATCAATAAAATAATATAACAAAAATAGACCAAAAAATATTGCATTATTCAACTTAGGACTTTGCATTTTTAAACTTTTAATTTTGAAAAATATAAAATACAATTTTAATTTACGTAAGAAAGCATGTCGTTTCAACATTTCGCGTAAGGTTTTCAGGAAAAACGCGAAATATATAAGGCTACGTCGCGTTTTTCGAAAAAAAAAAGCAATTACAAAACAACATTCTACTGAGAGCAGTTTAACTAGAGACCAACTTTCGTGGATGCAGATCAGTTGACTTGAAGAACATAAGAAAACTTTGTGGTAATCAAGTACATCCCTCACAGTTGAATAGATCATCCAACCAGCCATAGATGTTTGAATCACATTTACACTGGATGATATCATTCAGCCAATTTCAGCATCCGGATCCAATGTTGTTTCGCTGACGAGCACACCTTCATCCCATAGCTCTTCGGACCTGTGGAGACAATGCTTATGAACCAACCGAGAACATGAGAGTCAACAGTTATAGAGCAGTAAGGAAAAAAAAGAGTTCACGATAGGCACATCATTGTCTCTTTAAGTTTTGCACGTTTAGGAGTAACATGACTGAAAAAAGGTCCAAGTTACAAGCAAAATCTTCTCATTGATGCAAAAGAATAGTCATGAGTTGTGGGATGCTTTCATACATAAATCAAAATAAACAAGTTGTTCTGGCCTCATAGCAACACAATGTTCCTCGACAAGTAATATTGAATGAGAATAAGTCATAAAGTAGAAATGTACGGTAATGAAAATCTTTTACAAGTTACAAAATCATTCAAGGTAAAAAATGCTTAGTTCTAAATCGATTGCAGAAGAGATTACAAGTGAAAAATATTGAAGGGGAAATTTTAAAATATGCATCACCAGTTACACAATTATTTAGCTAATATTTGTGTTTATGTTTCTGTCCTCAGTCCTCAATCTTAAGATTTACGAGAAATTTATTCAACTCAGTATTTATTTGGTAGAGAGAATTTTCGGGTAAGGAAGAACTAAACTACCAGAAGGAATGGCCATGATGAGTATCATCAACCAGTTTGGCAGAAAACCTAAAAATCAAGTGATATAAAAAAATTCAGAAATCTCTGAAAAATCAGACCTTGTCCCATGGACATTGATACGAAGAAAGTGGCCGTGTCGCCATCCCTCTTTGAAGTGCCCAAAGAACACATCACCAAGCTTCGAGTAGAAACGGCCTTCTCCATTTGCTTTTCCCTTCCAGAAGTTCACAAACCATCTATCTCCAGTATGGAAATATATCCATCCCTATGTAGAAGACAAAATACAAACACAAAATTTAAGCACCATTCATGGGAATGTTTTGTTCAACTTTTAAATTACATTAGAAGAAAACAAGAGTTGGTTAGACTAAGGACTAAGTAGAAACAAAATTTCATTAAATAAGTCAAAGAGAAAAAGATAAGTAAAAGAAATTTGATTACACAGGTTCTGTTGAATTAAGAAACAAAATTAGTAATGATGAAATGTATTTGAAGTCTATGCAAGCATGTTTTAAGTGGGTTAGTATGGAGTTAATGTGGTTGGCGGAGATGAGTTAATTGAAGCGCATGTAATGGAATGGGTTTTTAATATGCTTTATTTATTAGGGGGTTTGAAGAGGTGTTTCTTAAACCCATAAATACCCAAGTCGAAGTCATTTTGTAACCAAGAAGTCAAGAAGAAGACTAAAAAAATAAATCTCCCCACTTCCTCCACTTTTCTTTTATTTTCTATATGGTCCATAGGCATAAAACTCGATGAGAAGTCAGAAGAATTTCAAGTCAACAAATGGTGATACCTTGCCATGCATGACATCGTCCCTCCATGAGCCCTGAAAAACATCTCCACTGTTAAAGTAGTATGTTCCTAAACCTGATCTCTTTCCGTAGCGCCACATTCCATCATAGATGCTTCCATTCCCAAGCAACAGGCGACCCTGAGGAACTCATCGTTTATTCATTACAAAGCTGGTTCAAGTTATAAGTAGCTTTTCAGATTAATGTCGAAGTACCTTTCCTTCAGGAAGACCTCCTTGAATGCGGCCCCTGTATATTCCTCCACGATATTTCATTTCAACCACGCGACTCCATTTGTTCTGTGAATCCCTCTCTGATTCCTTTATGTGATGGACAGTAACCATCTCATTAGAGTCTTATGGGAGCAATTCATTACGGGTTTTATTGAAAAGTTAATTCAAAACTTTGTTTACTTCAAATTTGCTCTGTGGTGATACTTGATATGGGGGAACTTATCTGAACAGCAGCCTAGCAGCCTAACAGAACATATTTTGAAGCCCAAACTGAAACAAATTATTTCAGAATAAAACTAATCCTGGATTTAAGGATTGGGATACAGAACAAACTTTTGTATTAGTATAGAAGAGTAATTTGGATAAGCTCATAGCATCAATGATTACTCGTTCCCCGTGTCAAGATACCTTGTTTAAAAGTATATAGTTGCTTTTGCTATAGAAAATCGACATAATTTAATTCCATTTGGCACAAAAGACATTTATTAAGCTCATCAAGTATATCTTCAACTCGAAGGCTGAAGTTTGAATAACTGTATTTGGCTTCAAGTATGAATTCAAAAAAAGAATGATTAGAGATGAAGAGAGAAATATTAGCCACAAATTTGTCCATTTTGTATCACTTTTCTCACATTAAGCACAGAAAAGAAACAAAGTTTACCAACATGGATGCAGCACGACTGGAAAGAACTCCCTGCTGCTTATAATTGCTGGTGGCATTTTGTGTGCTGAGGGAAGGGACATTTTTGTTTTGATCAGCATCTATTAATCCAGACCAAGGCATGCTTGACCCAGGCCAAGCACGAGCTTGGTCCGTTTTGTTGTCATCAATTCTCCAAGCTACTCCTTCCTTAGTGTTTGAAGAGTGAGGAGTTTCTTCAAGCTTCTCTAAATTTTTTACACCCACGGGAAGTTTGTAGATGCTGACACTGTCGACTATAGCAACCTCCGAAAAGTTAGTTCCACCCTTTGATCTTTTATTCAAATATACTGGCTCCATATTTCCTCTAGTACGGAGTTCTCTGTTGAACACCTGAGTTCCTGTATAATCCACTCCATTTAAAATTACTATATTCCAAATGGACCTTCTATAATAAGAGTTTTATAACCCCTCCATCCCATCTTATAATCCTCAAGTTCATCTTTCTTTTTTTTTTTTTTTTTTCCCAAAATGATGGTAACTTTTTTAGTTCAAGTTTTATTTATTTCTATTTCTTAGTTACACCTCTATTTAATCTGGCAATTACCCATATTTCAATATTAAAGATTAGGGTTACTGTAAGGTATAATAGGAACATTGGGTATTGTGTTGATTATATGAAGTATGTAAGATCACATTGCTTAATCAGTGCGAAAGTGAGAAGCAGGACTATAATTTTTGGAGGGAGTAATCTGCCGTTGTTATAATTACAAATGAGGGAAGTTCTACCTTCAGAATTCAATTTATAAATGGAAGAATCAGAGTTGGCCCCAAATGACTCGACTCCACTTTCTCGAGAGCTACTGTCATCCCTAAATGAGAAGACTATGTCAATGCTCAACGAAGTACTGAAAATACAAATGGTGAACTGAAACGAGCAAAAAAGGACCTCAAAGAAAAGAATTCTCCATCTGCCTCGCCCAACAATTGTGGGATTTTGCCCGAGGAAACATTTGTGCCTTCAAAAGTACTACTAACCAAGGATTCCGGAATAGGCAGACCACCAGCCACAGGACTTATTACATCAGAAACATCTGGACTCTCAAATAAAAAGGCCTTCCCAGAGTTGACGGTTCTCTGATGTTGCTTTTTGAAGATATTGAAAATAAAAGGGAAATGCTGACCCAGGCTAAAGAGTATGCCTTTTCTGGGAGCCAACTGCTGAGTGGTATATCTGTAAACACATCAAATTGCAACAAACATAGAAAATTTTGTCAATACAAAGTTAACATTGAGTGGAGGAAAAAGGGGGAGAAGTACAGAAGAACAGTTGAGGTATTTTCTTTTCTTAAGCAGTTGGAGAAGTTCGGTACTATACTATTGGTACATAATTCTAACACAAAAATGTTTAAAGATTCCGCAGAAACAACTGAGAGTTGAATAGTCAAATATCTCAACATAAAAAAAAATGTCAACATCAACAACATACCCAGTATATTCCCAACCGGTTGGGGTCTGGGGGGTCAGTTGTACGCAGACCTTACCCTTGTAATTATACAAGGAGGCTGTTTCCATAGCGACCCAAGGTGCGTTGCGTCGTTTGATATATTTTTCTAG